GACGGCTGAAAGCAGGTTTCTGGGGTTTATTTACCTTCTATAATTGCAACATTGTTTCTTAGACTGCAGCTCAGAGGCCAGCAGCAGCAGGCGGGGAACCTTGGCTTCCTCCATCACTGGAGCAAGCAAGCCTCCTGTTCGCTTCAGCTGCCTGGCTGCCGGCTGCCATCTTGGTTGGCAGTTAATTTGCATATCTCAGCCAATGGGAAGGGTAGCGAAGTTATGGTTAATTACCATGTTTGTCTATTATTAGATGGGATAGATTGATAGCAACTTGATAATGTGCTCATTTCTACTCTTGCTGCTTTTTCAGTCAAAATATTAGTTTCTATGGTTACCTCACATACCTCAAAACTTTGTTCTTTATAGAATTAAAGGTAAAGCATTTTTAAAAGGGCTAGAGGCCAAGTTTTCACTTAAGCTTAAATTTTTAAGGAGTGGTACTCTTGGCTGAGAATTTGTGCTTTATGTACTAGGTTATTTGAAAATCTGTTACATGAATTCATATTTGCCACATTTTATAAGGTGGAGAGGTTTATTGTCTTCCCAACTTGATTTTATCAAATTTTAATCTAGTGTCAAAGGCAATTTCAGGTATACCTCTTCAGTACAGTCTTTTCATTCCTTTTCCACAAACTAAAATTGTTAGACTCAAAAGATTAACTGGAGTATGTATATTTTCCACTAATTAACACCATTTTGGGGTCGACTGGTTGTAAATCACCCAGATAGGATCAGTGACTGTGTTACAGGAGATAAGGTGCGCAGTTGAATGAGTGAGGGCAGGTCCTGTCTTGAGAAAGTAAGCAGGATGCTCTACCTAAGAGGAGAGTTCCTGGGGAGTAATGATAATTACATTAATGGAATTCTGAACACTTTTCATAGGCACCAACTTCACAAGCACATTTAAGTAAAACTAATGCCAATTATAAAACATTTTTGTACTGTTTATCTGGTAGTGGCTGGGTATGATGCCTCGAACAGTAGGCATTCAATAAATGATAGAAAAGGCATAGTCTTATTGCATGATTTTTTTAAAAAATTCAGTTGGCCTTTCTGCATAAATTATTGAATGCAGAATTTTTACATGCCCTAGGGAGAAACACTTATGAAAATAAAAGGCAGCTTGAATAGTCACTAGCAATTTTATTGCTTAAATATAGTCAAACTGACAATACTTTCCCTGCAGTTCTGCTATTTGAAATATGTGCTTTTCTTTAAAGCTATATGTAAATGGTAAGTAAAAATTTACCAACTTAACATTGTGTACATGGATGACTTTAGCGTACAAGCCATATATACCCCTACACATAAAAATTAAGGGTTAGATAAATAGAAAAATATTAGGTAGTCCTGCTATCCTGTTCAGTGTGATAACTTACTGTGAAAATACACTACAAAATAAGCTTGATACCAAGTCCTTCCATTTCATCAGCAATTATAACTTTAGAATACTAAATAACATCTACTTGGGTCAAGATATATTGAAAATAACTTTTCTGTTTAAGTTTTTTATTTTGCTTATATATTTAATACAGAATGATAAAAGGAATGTTACTTTTGGTCTAAATATCAGATTCTTTTATTGAGCTATGGAATTTTCATATCTATACATTTAATATTA